AGGAAGTGGCAGGAGAACATTCTGGAGAAGAAAACTGTTTTTGTCGCAGGCAGGTTTCGAACCCAGGACCTTTGGAATGAGCAGCAAACAGTGTAGCAGTAGACCAGGAGAGCCCCCTTGGACCGACAGTGACTTAATACTTTCATCATGACCATGGAGGCCAGCCACTAAACTGCCAGTCTCAGTGGGATTTGAACAGTCGTGTCCAGGGATCGGGCACTTTGCAACCTCAGTGCTTTCTTGTCCTATCTCTCTTTTCATACAGTGAGAACAGTTCATGACAAAGTCACATTTTCACCGTTTCAAAAAACGGAGATACGACAAGAAAGCACTGAGGTGGCGACTTTCTACACTTGACCATATCGTTCTGAAATAGACAAAGTTTCCACAGAGACGGTGCTGAGACAGAGGAAAATGTTGTGTTAGTAAACAGAACCACAGGTCAACAAATGTAAGACTTACACACAGGTCAACAAATGTAAGACTTACACACAGGTCAACAAATGTAAGACTTACACACAGGTCAAAGAATGTAAGACTTACACACAGGTCAACAAATGTAAGCCTTACCATTGAGCGTAGCTTCGAGTGGTCGGCCAGACTGATGTTTTGTTCCACTGAAAAGGAAAGAAAAGAGAACAAGAGATTATTTGTTATGGTTATACTTTCCTTAGAGCATCTTCCACAACACAAAGAGAAATAACTGTTATACTTTAGTGAGAGAATCTTCCACAACACAAAGAGAAATAACTGTTATACTTTCCTTAGAGCATCTTCCACAACACAAGCAGAAATAACTGTTATACTTTAGTGAGAGAATCTTCCACAACACAAGGAGAAATAGCTGTTATACTTTCCTTAGAGCATCTTCCACAACACAAGCAGAAATAACTGTTATACTTTAGTGAGAGCATCTTCCACAACACAAGGAGAAATAACTGTTATACTTTAGTGAGAGAATCTTCCACAACACAAGCAGAAATAACTGTTATACTTTAGTGAGAGCATCTTCCACAACACAAGGAGAAATAACTGTTATACTTTAGTGAGAGAATCTTCCACAACACAAGCAGAAATAACCACCTTACACCAGTTGGATCTGCTGACTTGGCAAACCTCGGCGATGGAAGAAATGAACGATCGCCGCAAGTGTAGGACACACACACACATACACAAACACACACTCTCATGCACACATTATAACCAACTGACTAGTCCGTTACGTGGTTGACCTTTGACTTACTGAGTGAGTCGATGACCTTGACCCCGACTTCTGAGCGAGTCGATGTCCTTGACCTATGACTTACTGAGCGAGTCGATGTCCTTGACCTTTGACTTACTGGGCGAGTCGATGTCCTTGACCTTTGACTTACTGAGCGACTCGATGTCCTTGACCTTTGACTTACTGAGCGAGTCGATGTCCTTGACCTTTGACTTACTGAGTGAGTCGACGTCCTTGACCTTTGACTTACTGAGTGACCTTTGACTTACTGAGTGACCTTTGACTTACTGAGCGAGTCGATGTCCTTGATGGCCTTGACCAGCGTGTCCTGTCCGATGCTCTGACTGGCAGCCTCGCGCGCCGCGTCCTCAATGTTGTGGGCCTCGTCTAGGATGACCACGTGACCCTTTAGACTGATCATCATCTGGGGC